ACCATATATTCAATTTCTACCTTTACGCACTATCATTCTTCTATTTTGAGGGTATTAGGACTGGATGGCACTATCAATTAACATGACGATGCAACTGTCAATTTTAACTAAGATGTGACTGTTTATCATGCAATATTTTAGCTATCAACCTTTTGCTTTCTGCTGAAATTTGGCATCACTAATTAGTTTTCCAGATACATTCCAAGATTGAACCTCAAGTAAATAACTTACAGAATGTATATATTCTGATGTCACAAATCACAGAAAGCAACAGTGCAGTGCTGCAGGCACATTGTGCTGACTCACATTGCATTATTGAGATTATATTGCCCATAGGTAAAATTGTTTGCTGACTTGCTTTCCTTTTGTAGAGGTGGTATTTTGTTTTAACACAATTCAGAGATTCTTTGAAGCAAGTTGATTCATTTAGAGCTTCCATTGGATGACCTATTATAAATTCTCGGCCCAATAGATCTGACAGCCATATTAATTTCTTCTAATTGGGCAGTATTTCCTTTAACTGAATTTTGTATGAATCATGTCGCACCAAATTATCTTGTTGGGAAATAAGTGGATTAGCTTTAGACAGTATGAAGAAAAAGTTATGGACAACTCAGCAGCAAAGTTGCTAAATGATCTACTGAATCATGGTTATTGATAGTTATATAACAAGTTTAATTTGCATTAGTCAAGTGAAGACACATGGAGAAATAATATTAAATATGTTGTGTATTGAACTGCACATAATACAATGTTTACATAAATTGGGAATGGTTATGATTTTGTAGCTCCTGGCTGAGTTTAATTCTCTTTCTAGGGTCTAAAATGACTGAAAACCTGAAAATTTTCAGTTAAAATAAAACCAGAATCAGACAGTGCTCTCATTCAGGGTAGGATCCATATAACAGGGAATGTAGTGTGTAGCAGTGGTTTGACAAGTGGAGATGTGAGTTATGGAATGTGCTAAGCAACATCCAGAAATATACAGTTACAAGTAGGGCTTTTCAAGTGCATAATTGGCTAGTAGAAGGTAGATTTCAATCCAAGCATAACTGTTGCTCAACTGTTTATCAAATAGTTGTTAGCCAAACAATAATACAGCTATTGAGGATTATAACTCCAAAACATTGATTGTTAGAATTCCTGTTGTCATTGTATATCATTAATATTGTTGTGGCACAATCTTTCACAAGTACAAAGTACAGCATTGCTAATTCCAATAGACACCTGAGTGAAGCAAGCTGATAAAAACAATCTTGTGTTAGTATGTGTTGTATAAAGAAATTGGAAATTTTGGTATAGCTCCACCCTTTGATATTCAAATAACTGTTTCAGGGGTGCGGGAGAAGTTGTTCAATTCTTCACTCATCAATTTTTATTGTATTTTGTTAGTCAGTTCTGCAGCGTACAGTCATATAGCATAGACGTAGTCGTATTCTCTCAGGTGATAGCAATGTCTCTTACCAAGTGTTGATGTAGTTAATCAGTCTTAAAATAATATAATCTGTTATCTTACTATTAAGCAATAAACTACTTTCTGATACTCAAATATATGTCTCTTCTAACAAAAACTCTTTAGTGGTTAATTCTTCAGCATTCGACGGTAATAAGCTCCTTAGACTAATACTACAAGAAGAGAGGGGCTTTGGTTCGCTCAGTTGGCTGTACAGCTGGTTTGTGATGCAGAATGACACCAATAGCATGCGTTCAATTACCACTCTGGCTGAGGTAACCAGGAAGGTCTGACCTTCTCAACCTGGCCCCTCACCGGAGGTGCAGTGCTGCTCAAGTTAAACCACCACCAGTTTTCTCTCTTCAATGAGAAAGCAGCTCTATGATCCAGTAGGACGACTATGGCAACTTTACTGCAAGGAGAATTGGTTACAACATATCCACCCAACAAATATTTATCACAACCAAGGGCCAGCTGCAGACATTCTTTACGAGAATTGCAGTACAACACACAGTATGTAATTAGCTTTACAGACAGTTTACTTTGTCATCTGTGCTGTTTAAATAGCTGAAATGTGTTGGCTACTGTAGTATGACTTAATGGTTTTGAAACAGTTAATTTTGAAGTTGCACTGAGCTCCAGCCAGTCTGATTATCTAATACAGCCTTTGGATGCAGAAGAAGGAGCTTGGCACAAGGCCTCAGATGGATACAGACATGCTAGGTCTGATGCCCAACAGTTTTTGTAGCTATGCCTAACGAGTCAACATAACTGATAGCTATTACTATCTTGCAATAAACTACAGTTTTTGTTGTTAGACAGCTGACTCTTCTTATTAAGACTCACTTATAGTTTATCCTCTAGAAGTGCCAATTAGATACAGCCTTAGAATAGAAAGTAGGATTCCCATCATTAGTTTTTTATGGGGGCTGCTTTTTAATTTTTGGTTGCATTTCAGCCCAACACTCCTGATCTAAGGGAACCCTGTGTCGGGAGGGGTGGATTGGTCAAAGAACCTTCTTACAGCCTGTTTGTGGGCCTGGCCGAAGTGGGCATTAATAGACCCAGGTAGCAGGTTGTGAAGGGGGTCATTGTGCCTGACTGCCTGTCTTTCTTTCACAGTTACGTCCACAGTAGGGAGGGAGCATGTGGTGTTCACCAGCTCAATACAGACCTTTACAGATCAGAGGACACTGCGGGAGCTGGAGTGCATAATCACCCCAAATAACATTATATTGATTTGATAAGTTTCAATTCTCCTTATAAAAGTTGCCACTAGTCATTACAGTGTATTTTTTTTAATTGCTCCATAAGGGGCTGTTTAACCAAATTTTATGTTTTTTTTCCTTTATTCATTAATGACCAGGCAGCATTTATTGCCCATCCCTAATTGCCCAGAGGGCAGTTAAGAGTCAACCACATTGCAGGGGTCTGGAGTCACATGTAGGTCAGACCAGGTAAGGATGTCAGTTTCCTTCCCTAAAGGACATTAGTTAACCAAATGGGATTTTCCTGATAATTGACAATGGATTTATGGTCATCATTAGATTCTTAATTCCAGATTTTTTTTTAGTTGAATTCAAATTCCGCCATCTGCTGTGACAGGATTCAAACGTACATCCTCAGAACATTGCCTGGGTCTCTGGATTAACAATCCAGCAATAATACCACTAGGCCATCACCTCCCCATTTAAAAGAGTCGAAAAGACGATTGGTGGCAATAACCCAAACTGCTAGTGATTGATATAATAGCTACCTAATCAGCTCTTTTAAATAATTAGGATTTCATTGGCAGTTGGAGGCAAGTGTTCTATTTACAGCAAGTGAAATTTGTTCTCTACACTCAAATGCAATCAAATCTGCAAATGATTTCTTGCATTTATATTACAAATGCAGAATAATTGGGGCATTATTCTTCCTTTTACAAAAAGTGGGTCCTTGAGATTTGTGCAATGCTGGAAAGATCATATTCATTAGATTTCCCTAGTTGTATAGAAAAGTTGTTTCTAAAACTTCTTAAATTGCCGATGTTGTTGCATAATGCTTTCTCCACGGTAGTTAAAGGCAGGGGATACTAAAGTATCAACCCAGCAACAATGACTGAAAGGTAGTGTGTGACATGGAAAGGAAGTGGGATATTGGTGGTACAACCTAAAACTTAATGCTGTTGCTTCTTGCTGTCAGTGTCCACCATCTATCCAAATGCTTAAGATTTTCAGTTTAAAACTGCTATACCACCTTAAGAGGACCCATCCTCGTAATTTAGTCAAAGCTCAGAATTTGTCAGCATATACTGTAGCAGTGTGGGGAGTTTCCTGTTTCTTCACCACCTTGGTTTCTGTTTAGAATTGTCAGGGTAAATAACAGTTTTATATGCAGGCACTACACTTGGATATAAAGTGCTCTTTTCACACAAAAATACCCCATCAGCACAAATGGAAGTTTTTCATTTCACTAGTCTTGGCTGCATTCAAACCTGTAGGCTTAGAAGTAAAATGACAGTGTTCAGGCTCAGTGCGTCAATCATTTTCCCTTTAAAATCCAAGAGCTTTCATTCCAGGATTATAAAGAATATTTACCACACAATTGTGATGGAATACCAAATAGTTATTATTGAGCTGAATGGAAAATTGCAGCTTTCTAGAGTAGTTACCAGTTAATATTGTCTCTTCTTGCTGATTCTATTGAGCTGATGCATATCCTTTGCAGCTAATCTGTTTGACACATTCTGTATTGTCTCAGATCTTTAGATGTGATACTAGTTTAGAGAAAGCCTGAAGAACTCTGTGAATGCCAAAACAGTTGTCATGATACGATAAGAAATAGGAATTGTAGTAAGAGATAACAAGGTGTAGAGCTGGATGAACACAGCAGGCCAAGCAGCATCAGAGGAGCAGGAAGGCTGACGTTTCGGGCCTAGACCCTTCTTCAGAATTGTAGTAGACCATTTGGCCTTCGAACCTGATCTGTCATTCAGTATGACCATGGCTGATCCGACATTCCTCACTTCCACTTTCCTGCATTTTTACAATAATCCTTGATTCCCTGATTATCTGAGCCTTAAGCGTGCAAGGGAACTCTGCCTTCAAGAGCCATCAACGGCAAGGAATTCCAAAGACTCTAAACCTTCTGAGAGAAGAAAGTCCTCCTCATCTCAGTTTTCATTTGATGCCCCTTTATTCTGAGACTACACCCTTTGGTCCTAGAATCTTCCATAAGTGGAAACATCCTTTCAGCAATTATCCTGTCAAGTCACTTAAGAACGCTTTATGTTTCAATGAGATCACTTCTCATTCTTCTAAACTCTAATGAGTAGAATACCTATCTGTTCAATCTTTGCCCATAATATAATCCCTCCATACAAGGGATCATCCTCATAAACCTTCTCTGAACTGCCTCACTCACAATTATCTTCCAATCAACAGAATCAGCTTAAAGTTGTTATATTCTCTGCAAATTGCTTTAAAAAACTACCTTTCCTTTTAAGTGTTAAGTCCACTTACACTTAAGCCTTTACTGTATTTTTTTTTATCATTTTCTTTGACAGATGGTAAACCAAAGGTCTGGGTGTATGGAGTGTCCACTGCTATGGTAGTCCTCATTATCTTCATTACTGTCCTTTCATATCTGGTCTGGTAAGCATCAGCAACTTTTACTTTAAATATTATTTCTTATTTCTGATTTAAAAATATACTTTGATAATCATGACTAAATCCTATTTAAATGCCCAAGGCATATTATGTGACATTCTACCTGATTGGCAACAATGGTTCTTGCTTGTTTCAAAATATAGTTTTGGAAATCTTGATGAGTAATGCATTCTGTAAAGCAAATTTCCTAAAAGTTCAGATAACGATGTTGTTTCAATGTTGTACTGTAACAAGACAAACCAAATATTTGTTTTAAAATAGCTGCCAAAAAATGAAATTGTTATTTAGATGGATCAGAAGCAGCCAGATTCATGGAATTCTCCATAAAATATAAAATTGGTTTGTTTATTAACTCCTGATGATTTGATTTACTTGACACGCCCAAGTAGATTTGTTAAACTTTTGAAAATTAACAGGGAACTTTGTTGAGTTTATCAATTTACATCTGACTATGGCATGCCGTGCTTCAGTTGTTATATCTGATTTTAAAATATAATCGTAAATTATCAGGTATATGGTAGATTTTACTACAAAGAAACAGTTTTGGTCTACCATGCATCGTGTCTAATTCTATAACAGAATGCCTTCATCTGCAAAGAAATATATTTTATTCATATAGGATCTATTTTAATATAAGAAGGAGTTTAAGCTCCATCTGCTCTACAGAAAGCAGGCAGTGCAGGAGTTAGGATTAAAACCATTCATCTGTTATTTTCCTGGCCCATAACTATCCCACAGCTGGACAGTTAAGTTTCCCAGTTGCCTTTGGTGGAAGCCTCAAGAGCCTATGCTAATCAGAATTCCGTTATAGATACAGATTTCCAATACCATTAATATAATCTAATATGGGTTCCATCTTCCAAGTGATGTTAAAACAAAAACATTTTTTTTTGACATAGGATGTGCAGGAGTGGCCCCCACAAAAACCGTTTTAAACTGCTCCTGAACCAGGTTCTTTCTGTTCTGTATTTGTGCAACTCTCCTGAACCCCTAGGCACTTGCCTTGCTGTTAGACCAACTGTGCCATCATTTTTTTGTTTCTGAATGCCTCTTTGAAACATACAACTCATGAATTCTATTTGAATAAGGCTTGGACAAGAAAATGGACTGAACCTTCTTGGGCACCTCCAACATGGTTCCCAGCTAGGCCCTACAGTTGACTGCCCTGGAATTTAAGTTCTGCTTATGATTCACGCTGTATTATGATTCCAATCCACTGGCAAATTTAGGAAATTTCTTGTTTTATTACATGTTAAAATCACATAATAATTGTTTCACTGTTGGGAGAAATTTGATTTTCCTGTCATCCTACACAAAAACAGTAAAAACTGAAAAAAATTTGCTGCCTAACAGTGCAATCATTTTTTATGCATGCAACTGGTCAAACATTGCATGATAATGATATTGGTCTCCACTTACTAATATTAGCCCTCATCAGAAGTTCAAACAATAGATTGTTACTGTTTGTTTCTATTAGGATTGATATATTGTGTGTGGATCTGTATTATAATTCAGGTATGTTTCTATTTATTAACAATATTGAAGTTTGACCACAAACAGTTATTGTTTCTTTTGTTTATCCTTCACAGCAAGAAACCAAAGCAGCAGACTCGTCCAGCTCCTCAGCAGAAGCCTCTGACTTTAGCCTATGATGGTGATTTGGACATGTAATGAGTTCAGGAAAAGAAACTCTTCCTTTGTCCTGTTCATATTAATTGGATGACAGAAGCCTTAAACTTACTTCAGTGTCACAAGCATGAGCAAAGAAGACAAAACTCAAAAAGTAGCCTTGAGGAATGTCTCAAACCATATCATTCCTGTGGGGAGAAACAATTTTCAGAAACTCCAAATGTGCTCTTATATTGAAATGTGAAAGTCAGCAACCTAACATGACCGAAAATGGCTATTAAAATTGTATTCATTCTTTAAAATGTTTAGTTTATGAAATGAACACCAAGACTGATTAAACAGCATTTCTTGTTCATTTTTCATATTAACAAATTGAAAAAAAATTGCATAGAATTCCCAGTACAAAGGTATGAAGACAATTCAAAAGAAATCACATATTGTATTTACAACTTGATGTCTGTGAATGCATTTCTGAAGGCAAGTACTGCTTATTGCTCAACAATTACTTTGACCTGAAAGGAGTTATTGAACATTCTGTGGAACAATCTGCACTATATTAGTGCATCATGATTTCCTGCATTTATTGAACGAGCAAAAATGTACAGTAACAAGGATTTCAATATCGCTTAAAGCTTGGTCTTCTCAAGTGACTTACTCTGTAAGAGAACAGTACTAGTCTTATCAGAGAAGAGATGACGTGTAATGTTGTGGAGCCTTAATGAGTATTTTGTAATGAATGTCTTTTCTCAAATGAGATAAGACCCAACATTTAATTAGAAGTTAAAATGCTCCTGATAGGATAGAAGAATTCTCAGTAAGTGAAGATGACTTTTTCAATAGAGAATAATAAATGGTTCACAATTTCTGCCTTCTGTTCCATTTCTAATTATTACGAAGCATAAGACATGGCCAACTGTAAATAACATTCTGGCTGTACACCAAACAAAATAACACATTGAATGATTAAAAATTTGATTCAGACAGTTTCAAGTTTGCCATTAAACCATTGTTTTCCATTCCACTTGGTACATCTAAAGTGGCAAGATCCAGTAAGTAGTGACTTTTATTTTCCTTCTAGAGATTTATGGTAAAATAGAACAATCTTGCAATGGTGGATGATACCTAAACAATGGTTTATTTACATTTTGAGCTCAAAAGATAGGTACCTTTAAATTTGGTTGATGAATTTGGCCAGCTGCCTGGAAAACAATTATTTAATTATTATGGTGGTTGTGCTATTCAAATAACAAATGTTAACTTAGCTTTTACTGATCTTCATTTGTGAGCCTCAAGAGAAAAGTATTAACAGCTGGTAAAGCGTGTTTGTTACTTTGAAATGTATTCATTGCTCCAATTGGGAACCAATTCAATGTATTTTCTTGAAAATAAACCAGAAAACAAGTGGTTAGAATCTGGATGTTTTGTTTTCTGTTGTTGCACATTATGTTTCACAGTAATGAATCTTTGAATGCAATTTCAGTGGTCAGTGTGAATATTTTGAGTTTCTGGCATTGCAATTTCAAATCCACAAAACAGCCTCAGATTTGAGGAAACTAAGTCAAAATTTGAAGTTTGCTTTCGATTAGATGAAGGTAAAGTGTTATGACTTGTTAATACAAATTAAATCAGTTCTTGGAATGTTATTAGCAAGTAAAATCACCCTGTTCTGGAAAGCAAGAAAGAAAATAAAACAGATTTTGGGATAATCTTAATCTACCATGTAATTGGCATAGGTCCATTATATAAAGTGATCTTTCATTATCTACTCATTGATAGTAACTTGACAACATATTCAGAATGACTTAAACAATGGTCATAGTTCCTTGAAAGTGGAGTCACAGGTGGATAAGGTGGTGAAGAAGGTGTTTGGTATGATTGTCTTCATTGGTCAGAACTTTGAGCACAGGAATTGGGGTGTCATGTTGCAACTGTACAGGACATTGGTGAGGCCCCTTTTAGAATGCTGCATACAATTCTGGTCACCATTCTATAGGGAGGATTTTGTTAAAGTTTTACAAGGATGTTGCCAGAACTGGAGGATTTGAGCTATAGGGAGAGGCTGAATAGGCTGGGGCTTTTTTCTCTGGAGTGTTGGAAACTGAGGGGTGACCATATAGAGGTTTATAAAATCATGAGGGGCATGAATAGGGTGAATAGCCAAGGTCTATTTCCTAGAGCTGGGGAGTCCAAAACTAGAGGGCATGGGTTTAAGGTGAGAGGGGAAAGATTTAAAGAGGACCTGAGAGTTAACTTTTTCATGCAGAGGATGGGTGCTGTGTGTATGGAATGAGCTGCCAGAGGATGTGATGAAGGTGGGTACATTTTCAACATTTAAAGGTGAGGCGGCACAGTGCCTTAGTGGTTCATACAGGTGCCTCACATTGGCAGGGACCTAGGTCTGATTCCAGCCTTGAGTGACGGTGTATGTGGAATTTGCACACCCTCCCTATAATCTGCGTGGGTTTCCTCCAGGTGTGCAGATTTGGCAGACTGGCCATGCGATAAACTGCCCATAGCATCCAAGGATGTGCAGGCTAGAAGGATTAGCCATGGGAAATGCAGACTTATGGGTATAGGTGGGGGGTGGTGTCTGGGTGAGTTGCTCTTTGGAGGGTTGGTGTGGACTCAATGGGCTGAGTGGCCTGCTTCTACACTGTTGGGGTTTTATGATTACCAAAAGGCATCTGGATGAGTATATGAATAGAAAAGGTTTACAGGGATATGGGCCAAATGCTCAAAAAGGGGAAAAAGTCAGATTGGGATGTCTGGTCAGTGTGGACAAATTGGACCAAATGGTCTGTTTCCATGTTCTATGAGTCTAATGCTTTGGAAGAAATTATAAGATTGTAGGAAAGGGAGCTTCATGTCTCAATCAACTTTCACTTTACTGGACTGGTGTCTCAGAAGAAAGTTGTTGGCCTGGGCTAAGTATTCTTCAACTTCTTTAGTTCAAAATAACCATAAGATCATAAGACACAGGAATAGAGGCAAGTCATTCAGCCCATCAAGTTGGCTCCAACATTTAATACGATCATACCTGATCTGATAATCCTCATAATGGCACAATTAAAGAAATACAAGTGTAAGAAGTAACCGTAAAAACCTCTTGCAGTATGGTGTCCATAGGTGTGAGGCTGGAAAAGCACAGAAGGTCAGGCAGCATCCGAGAAGCAGGAAAGTCAACAATTCGGGCTTTTCCAGCCTCTCGTCTATAGACTCTGGCTTCCAGCATCTGCAGTCCTTATTGTCTCTTGTGGTACGGTGATAGTGTCCTCATCTCTGGGCCAGAAGATCTGAGGTTTAAGTCCCACCGATCTGGGAGGTGTGTTAGAATATGTTCACATTGATTAAAATTACTAAATTACCAGTGCTGGATATTTGACAGTCATCCTTAACTAATCAGATTGAGGAATTGTTGATAACCGCTGCAGAACTTAGAATAGAATCAAGTAGAATATTTAAATCAATGTCAAATAAGGTACAGCAACTGAAAAGAGATGAAAGAAAGAATAGAAAAAGGGAATGAAACAAAAGAGATTGAAAGAGGAAAAACGATATATTTTTCTAAATCTCCAACAATAATTAAAATCTGAAGGAGTAATAGTTCACATTTTATTAAATGTCATTTTTATTTGCAAACGTGTTTTTGCGAAGTACATAGCATGCCATTATCTGGGTACTTATAGTGGAATGGATGTTTTTCTTCTAGTTTAATTTCATACTGTCACACAAGTAAAATAATGTGGTACATTTTAGCCAAGCGCTGCTTAGAGGTACTATTATAACTGGAGGAGCATGGCATCTCAGATCGTAACTTCCTGATTTGCAAATTTAATGGTTCATGTACATGTACTCATGTACTGGATGTTTCTGCTCAATTCACCCTTTAATGAGTGTGAACAGAGTTAGCCTCACCATTAATTTTATTGCAAAAATCTGTCAATTTATGATAAATTTGCAAAAGGCTAAAGTTAAGCCTTAGCATTCTAAGGCTAGTGTTGGGCATCCATTATAGAAAGGATATCAAAGTCAAATAGGGTAATATTAGTGATAAGAAATTATCATTATAAGATGAAGCCTGAAGCAAAGAAAACTGATAGAACATTTTGAGTCATAGAGTCACAGAGCTATACAGCATGGAAACAGACCCTTCTGTTCAACTCATCCATGCCTGCATTTGGCCCATATCTTTCAAACCCTATCTATTCATATACCCATCCAGATGCCTTTTAAGTGTTGTAATTGTACCAGCCTTCACAACTTCCTCTGGCAGCTCATTCCATACACACACCACTGTCTACATGAAAAAATTTCCCCCTAGGTCCCTTTCAAGCTTTTCCCCATTCACCTTAAATCTATGGTCTTTAGTTTTGGACTCCCTGACCCTGGGGAAAAGATCGTGTCTCTTCACCTTATCCATACTCCTCATGATTTTATAAAACTCTATAAGATAATCTCTCAGCTTCTGATGCTGCAGGGAAAATAGGCCCAGTCTATTCAGCCTCTTCCTACAGCTTAAACTCTCCAACCCTGGCAACATCCTTGGAAATCTTTTCTGAACCCTTTCAAGTTTCACAACATTCTTCCTGTAGCAGGGAGACCAGAACTGCATGTAGTATTCCAAAAGTGGCCTAACCAATGTCTTGTACAACTGCAACATGACCTCCCAACTCCTGTACTCAATGCACCTGCCAATAAAGGCAAGCATACCAAACGCCTATTTCACCATCCTGTCCACCTGCGACTCCACTTTCAAGGAACTATGAACATTCACTTCAAGGCTTCTTTGTTCAGCAATACCCCCCAAGACCTTCACATTATGCATATCAGTCCTCCCCCGATTTGCCTTTCCCAAATGCAACACCTCACTTTTATCTAAATTAAACTCCATCTGCCACTTCTCAGCACATTGCACCATCTGATCAAGATCCTGTTGTACTCTGAGGTAACCTCTGCTGTCCAGTACAACCTCCAATTTTAGTGTCATCTGCAAACTGACTATGCATACCTCCTATGTTCACATCCAAATAATTATATAAATGACAAAAAACAGTGGACCCAGTACCAATCCTTGTGGCAGACCGCTGATCACAGGCCTGCAGTCTGAAAAGCAACCCTCCAGCACCACCTTCCGTCTTCTACCTTCGAGCCAGTTCTGTATCCGAATGGCCAGTTCTCCCTGTATTCCATGTGATCTAAACTTGCTAACCAGTCTTCCATGAGGGACCTTGTTGAACACCCTACTGAAATCCATATAGTTGACATCCACCACTCTGCACTCATTAACCCGCTTCATTACTTCTTCAAAAAATTCAATCAAGTTAGTGAGACATGATATCCCACACACAAAACCATGTTGACTATCCCTAATCAGTCTTTGCCTTTCCAAATACATGTAAATCCTGTCCCTCAGGATTCCCTGAAACAACGTGCTCACCACCAATGTCAGGCTCACTGACTTTTTCTTACCACCTTTCTTAAATAGTGGCACCACGTTAGCCAACTTCCAGTCTTCTGGCACCTCACCTGTGGCTATCGATGATACAAATATCTCAGCAAGCAACCCAGCAATCACTTCCCTAGCTTCCCATAGAGTTCTAGGGTACACCTGATCAGGTCCTGGGGATTTATCCACCATTATGCGTTTTAAGACATCCAGCGCCTCATCCTCTGTAATATGGACATTTTTCAAGATATTGCTATTTATTTCCCCACATTCTCTATCTTTCATGTCCCTCTCCAGCATAAACACTGATACAAAACATTCATTTAGATCTCCCCCATTTCCTGCAGTGTCTACTCATAGGCAGCCTTGCTGATCTTTTAGGGGCCCTATTCTCTCCCTGCTTACTCGTTTGTCTATAATGTATTTCGGGAATCCCTTTGGATTCTCCTCAACCCTATTTGCCAAAGCTATCTCATGTCCCCTTTTTGCCATCCTGAGTTCCCTCTTATGTATACTTCTTTCTGCCTTTATACTTTTCTCGGGATTCACTTGATCTCTGCTGTCTATACCTGACATATACTTCCTTCTTATTCTTCACTAAAATTTCAATTTCTCTATTCATCCAGCAGTTAGTTGAGGTTTATAAAATCATGGAAGACTTTCATAGAATTATCAAGAAAAGCCCATTTCCTTTGATAGAGTTGTACAGCATGGAAACAGACCCTTTGGTCTAACTTGTTAATGCCGATCAGATATCCTAAATTACTGTAGTCCCATTTGTCAACATTGGTCCCCTTTCCCTCTAAGCCCTTCCTATTTATGTAGCCACCAGATGCCTTTTAAATGTCATAACATAACCAGCCTCCACCACTTCTTCTGAAGCTCATTCCATACATGCAGTATCCTC